AAGTACTGAATTTTTATTTCTTTAATTACACCATCTGATTGCGATCGTTGAAACCTTTGCAATTTCGCGGTGTAAAGCTAGATGGGGGTATAAGTTTACGTTTTCTGGAAAGAAAAGTTTGTATTTGCGGGACTTTTTGACGAGATAGCAGATATAGGGCAAGAAAACAGAAATAAAGTACTGAAAAGTACTGATAGTTTGTGCGCATCAAATGTACAATTATAATGTATATTAATCTTTTTTGATGACCATTTTTACACTTAGCTTAACTCCCAGAAGCTGTCAAACGTATTAATAATTTGTTGCAATCGTTATTGTTATTTTTATTATAAAAAAATAAAAGCCTAGCTATTATTATTATTAAAACATCGTTACTATTGTACGAGGAAGAATGAATACTAAATACCAAAATAGTACTACAAACGTGACACTTTTGAATAAAAACGTCAGTTATAATACAAAAATGTGGCCGCGTATAGCGCGCGGTTCACAGAACACGGAAAACCGAACGATCTATCAAACGCAGATTGTAATCGGCAGCGACCCAGCGAGCACAGACCGAAAAAAATGACGCTCGATCAGCTCGAAATGAACCAAATAACCTGGTAGAATTTTTCGAAAGTTGTTTATTGCGTTAAAGATTTAGTGAATCGTTATTTACGCGTTTATTTGATTTTATGTTGCAGGGGCGATTGAATTGAGTAATGTTGTTGAAGTAGTACAGCTAGTACAACTAGTAACGACTTTGTTTCTTCACTTCGTGCTGTCTTCAACCTGTTTTAAGACCATTTTTTAGGACATATTTGGGCCGATCATAAAACGATGTTGTATCTGGCGCATATATTTGTTTGCTTAACACACATAGTTGTGTGCTTTTTAGGTCCTTATCAGTGATGAGCGATTGTATTGAATTTTCATTTCCTTAACTGCGCCATCTGACGTGCAGTCGTTGAAACATTTGCATTTTTGTTGATTTCGCGGTGTAACGCCAGATGGGACTGTAAATTTGCATTTTTTGGAAAGAAAAGATTGGGATTGTTGTTGTTCGTGCGATTTTGTAACGAAATAGCAGATATCGGACAAGAAAACAGAAACAAAATACTTTTGGTTTGTGTTTAAATTGAATCCCGAATATTTTTTAAGATGGTATGTTGCGGTTTACGCGACAGCGTGCTACTTTTTTGTGAAATTAAAGACGTCGTCAACAAAATTATCACGGCCTACTTGGTTGAGATTCAGGGTGATTTTTGGACCACCCTAGTATCTCCGTTGTATTTTAAGTTATCGAAGAGTTTAAAAAACATTCCCATAGAATCCAGTAGCACAGTTTATTTCTCACTTGCTCCAACCCTTTATTGGTTATGAAGCAAAACATAATTTTAATAGAAAACCCTGTATACTATTTTTTACATTAAACTTTTCATATATCGGTATAAAGGTGTTTTTAAAATTAAGTCCAAAATTTATTTACTTTGTCATATTTTATTTTATTTGCAGCAGTAGGCCATGCAAGTTGGCACATGGAAAACCTATAATAATTCTAAACTATCGCGAAATACTGTTAGACTTATTGCAAAGCGATGGTTTCACTTTTTTAAAGCTATGACTAATGCAAAAATTGTAACAAAAACAGCAAAGTGCGCAACTGAATGATACTTTAGATGTATAAAAACCATGTTAATGTTTTATTTCGTTTCTTTCAAGTAAACAAAGTTAAATATTTTAAAAAATCCGATAACAATATTTTGTTTTAATCTATATTAAATAATTAACTCTTTTTTATAAATTGTTACTTTTGGAACACCCTGTATAATTATTTTTTTATCTACTTAAATATAATTATTTCAAAATATTTCTACACTTTGTCTAATGTAATTAAAAATTTAAAAACTTTTTGTAAATATAGAGTTTTTTGTCAACACCCTGTCCAATAATTATATCGTATTAAAGTTTAAAAAATCGAATTAGTCAAACACCTAGGGTTTCCCTGGCCCACTGTGCGTCGTCGACCCGGCTAGTAACGTTGCGGCGCGTACACCAGAGATATCGTAACAACGGGCGTTATTATTATTCGCTTTGCCGACTGACGTGCGAGAATTTGCGCGATTTAACCGCGCCCTTCGCATACCGCTCGCGGGAATAATGGCCGCCGTGAGCCGGTAACCCATTAACGCGCACGACCGGACCGCGATCTGTGGTACCTTGGACGTCATCGCAGACGCCTACGGCAATTGTTTTAATTATCGCACTGAGGTGGCTTTTACTTGATCAAATTTCATTAAACACGAATAAGTTAGAACAAAAAACGTTCAGATTTTCACACTTTCAAATATGATAATATTCCGAATTTTTCTTATCGACAGTGCCAGTAGTACATACTGTGTTTTTACTGTATTACCTTTACGATACATAAAAAATAAACAACAGCATTACTTTTAAGTAACAACTAATGTTAGAAACCGCTACAAAACAGTCTTCGTTGACCCTTGATTCTTAGAGAAATCGCTCATAGCCCTCGACATCAAAAATTAGAATCAGTTAGCCATGACTTCAGCTCGATAAGAAAAAAAAAAGTATCGGCAACGTCGCCGTATGTAAATCAAGGTCAAATGTCCTTCGGCAAACAGAACCACAATGGACGGCGGTTATGTCACGAGAACCGGTCCCACGATGACGTCAGCGTTCTCTTCCGACACGTTCCCATTTGTTTTTTATGTCGCGATGACCGACTGGATTAAAAGGAAGCGTGCATCGGAGGACGCACGCCCACTCGCAGAGGAAACCGGCAGCGAAAAATCCATAGATTTCAGTATTTCGGCGACTAATTTGGATCAAACACTTCATTACTTATTCTTCGAGTAGAAGTATACTCGTATATTTTTTAATAAATCATACAATTGTTTGCAAATTATATCGGAATGTAGAAAAGGTAGTAGTTTTGGTTAGCCCTTCGTCACTACTAACAATGCTGTCATTGAATTAATTAAAAAAAAAAGAAACCTATTAAAATTTGTGGGGGGGGTCGCGAAGTATTATATATATATATATATATATATATATATATATATATATATATATATATATATATATATATATATATTCACGTATTGATTCATATATATATATATATATATATATATATATATATATATATATATATATATATATTCACGTATTGATTCATATATATATATATATATATATATATATATATATATATATATATATATATATATATATATATATATATATATATATATATATATATACTTAGGAAATGGTTCTTGGGTTTTTTTTGGTCCTTTTTTAGTGAAATTAAAATAAGTTTCCGTTACTTGTGAAACATTTTATTTTTTGTGACGTTTCGGCCTTCAAGACCTTCTTCAGACATTTAATTTTAACCTTAAGCCAAAAATCAACGGTTCACTATATAGTTGTTTGGTAATTTACAGTTTTACAACATTCACAACAGACATATTGAATATGTAAATCGACAAGCCACATTGATAAGACGACGAACCAAAACAATATTATTGAAAAGAAAAAGAAAAAACTGAAAATCGGCCTAACTTCAATAGGTTTCTAATGCGAACATCAACAGCTGAAAAAGAAAAGATTCACAAATAACAAACGCACCTATTAAGACCTGGCAATACGTCACCATCAAGAAAGACCTTATCAACAAGCCTTTTAGATGACATCTATAAGGAGGAAACTATTGATACTTCGGGAAAACCTCATACTTATACTGAAGTAGGTTGCCTAATTTCTTCATGCATGAGAAAAACTTTGGAGGAAAAGACGGACTCAATAACTTATGGCTGCTCTGCACATATTTTGAACTCACTCTTACAAATGCCAGACGTCAAAGAACATATAGTCCAAATTGAAAAAGAAAACAAAAACCAAACTGATTCGACCACTTACGAAAAGATGTCAAATATTGGGCTTAAACATGCAGCATAACAATATTTAAGCATTTTAAAAACAACATCGGTTGCTCTTGATATTTTGCAAAGAAAAAACGCTATAACCTCAGATGCTGCAGATGTATCTTCGAGAATCTTGTAGAACAACCTTACCATATTATTCGACCCTCGACAGCAAGAATATGAGTTAATGCCCAAAGAAAAGAACCTGGCTTTGAGTAATTGAGTTGAATGCTCGCAGTTGCACGTTTAAAAAATTATATAATAAAAAACGTAAATGGAATAAAGTGGCGGACACCACAAAAGGATGGACCAGAAATTGCGAATCAGCTACCAATAACAAAACGGTTCCTGTGTGCAACTGCTTCCTTACCGTCAGTAGCATTTTAGTACTAGTAGTTTTGTTCGAACTATACAACGAAATTGCGGAAGCATAAAGCATATATTATTATGTTATTTGTCTTATGTTTTTAAAGAGTTGTGTTTTACTTTTTACTTGAGATATTGTGACATTGTGCTTTTTGTGTTAGTCTCAAAACAAAAAGATTTTAAAAAATAGGAGTATGATTTCGACATTAGGGCGGTTTTCGCTCGAATTTCGCCAAAATTTCTCACGTCCGATACTTCCTTGCCGTCCGGTACTTTATCGCAAACGTGCCAACGCCGCGCGAACCTATCCAACATGGCGTGCGGCCACTTTCGGGAGGTTTTTGTTTTTTTGAAAACGTTTTCCTCGTTCTCGGAAAATTGGCGACAACGCCGGACGTACCCGCGAAGCGGTGATTCAGCGCGGGTTTGCTCGCAACGGTAAACACAAAACGAGAGATAAAAAAGCGTCGGGAAAAGCGGGACGGCGGCGAAAGAAGTCGATGACCCAGTGGCGCGCACGCACGGTGTCACACTTGGCGTGAATCTCGCGGGGCTTCGAAAACCCGACATTTTTAGATATTAGGTTAGTATCGTGAGGCTTCGCGGGGATCGATTCCGGGCGTATTTGCCGCAAAACTATCGCAAACCGACCCGTTTCAAGGCCGGCGAACGTAAGAGACGCAGCCGACTAGATTCGTTTACCTCTTGAGCGGGCGACTGCGGCAGCCGTATACCGTCCCTAAAATCCGAGCGAAACGACACTTCAAAAAACTGCACGCACAAACAACACGCGAAAGACACACGGACGCGGCGCGCATAAGATCGCGTCGCTTCGTTTTACGACCGAAAGCCTCCGGTTTCGAACTGAATCTCCCCGACGCGTTTCAACTTTCTCATCGTTCAACAGGTGTCCGATGCCAGCTCGTGCCGCCCGAAGAACGCGTCGACGAAACCGGCAACGTCGCAATCTCTTCGAGGGCGACAGAACAGTTTTTTTGAAACCCTTAAATCGCGTACAAAACGGGAACGCTTTTCGAATATAACAGAGAAGGGCAAATAAAACCGTTTAACGTTAACGCAGCGGATTTTCGAGATCCCTTTACAACGTCAACTCGTGCCGCCGACTAGCGTCGCACGGACGCAACGGAAGTACCAATGGACGAGCGTCAGATGGCGCGCAATTGAAAAGTTGGTGTGGCGATTAAGATGAGAACAGAGACAACTGCCGACTGAAAACGCACAGAAGAGCTAAGCGTAGTTCTTCTTTTTGCGCGATGTTTTGCCAGTAGATAGTGGTGTCTACCACCAAATTGAAAGAATTTTTTTGTTTGTTTTAGTAAACTTGCTAACTGAATAAAACTCTCCCTAAAAACTAAAGCAATTTTCTATTGGAACGCCTAATATATTATTGGTTACTGTCGGCTCTTCGGTGTGCGTCGTACTGCCGTTCGTTCTTGCGTAGCAGGAACGGCATGCCTGTCGTCCGTCCTGACTAAGCATACGTGACTTTTGGAGGCTATAGAAACGATATGTTAACAAACTTACAGGTTTGGTCTGAATGAAAAATGTAAATAAATTAGAAATCACAAAAGATGCAAAAAAGACAATAAACAATTCGTTTAAAAAAAACTGTTATTCGATATGTAAACTAAATTAGCCTTAGAGACCACATAAATTAATATATATCATAAATATAAAATCCGATTCACAGTATAACAATTTTAGTGCGCCCATTATCGAATGGAACCGCAAGTTCTACCAAGCTTTACTAAACAGAAGTCTCGCCTAAGAAAGAGTACAAAATGTCATTGGTTAGTTTGAAACAGGCAAAGTATTATGTAGACATCGGATATTTTACGAAACGGTGCACCGTGATAGTGTAAAGTTACCTTTTCCAAAACGAAAATGTTCAATTTAAGAGCGCGTGTAAAAAGAAACCGTTAATGTAAATAGTTCGTTGCTTGCTCATTTTTCAACGTCGCCAATAAACCAAAACTAATGCTATTAATTTAATAAGTAGTATTTTTGTAATTTTGTATCTTTTTGCGTTCCCGGCGAATGGTGTTCATAACCTAATAAAATATAAAAATCTCTTTTCTATAAACTTGTTATATTTACGAAATAAAAAGATATCAATCACGAAGCATTGAATTTTTATTATTTTTCACTGTAATTTAAAGATAACTGCCCCCCAAATTGTCCGCAATCTAACGTTGGGAAATGAGTTCATCATGTTCTGTGGTTAGGTTCAGGCGCATGGGCCAATTTCCTTGGTAGACGCGCTCACGTTACGGAAAAAGCAAAGAAGAAAGTTCTGTGGTGCGAATGGCCATAGTAGTCTTGCCCAACTGTTTGTAAACAGCAAAGGAGAGAGAGAGAGAGAGAGAGAGAGAGTGAGGTTCTGTGGTGGGGATTCTGTGGTGGAGCATTGCACGCGGCGGTTTAACCTCCGTTCGCTCCCGACAGAATCCCTTGTATTCGTCCTCACAAGTTTGATATCGGTTTCCACTGTGTGGACTTAGTGTTTTTAGTGTTCAGTTTGAGCAAATATTGGTTATATGTCTTCTTTGTACGTGTTGGTCCATGACCAAAAGCGAAGATCCTCGACGGAAGTCGGCAATGGGCGAATGATCCTAGCAGTCGAGCCCAACATTTTTTTGTGAAACGCATAATTGAATTGAATTGAATTAGGTTCTGTGGTTTAATCCGTGTAAATTCCCAGTTACGGATTAGGATTTTAAATTTCGCAAAATCACGTCCGCCCGATGGGAATAGACAAGTGTCCGGTAGAAAGAAAGGACAGGTAACAAATGCCAACCTAAGTGCCCGTTCCTCCGAAAAGATTTATTTTTAATTTGGTAACTCTGTTCGTTTGTGACGTGGTTTTCACACAGTAAAATCGTGTCGATAAGCAATAGATGGCAATGGAGGCGAACGCGGCCGACGAATTTACGCCCAGAAATTACCAACTGGAACTGATGGAGATCGCGTTGAAGAAAAACACGATAATTTATTTGCCGACCGGCTCCGGCAAGACGTTTATCGCTGTGCTGGTGCTCAAGCAAATGGGCCACAGCCTCGCCAAGTAGGTACTTTTCGATATTCCCACAAATCCTTAACGGGCAATGTGTCGAAGGTCGTACAGTGAGGGGGGCAAGCTGTCCTTTGTTCTCGTGAATACCGTCACCTTGATCGATCAGCACGCCAAAGTGATCGAGAAAAGGACTTGCTTCAAGGTGGGCCGCTACTCTGGCGAGATGAACCTGGATGGTTGGCCCAAGTCCAAGTGGCTCCAGGAATTCAACAAGCACCAGGTTATCGTTATGACCGTCCAGATACTCGCCAACCTGACTATTTCCGGCTTTATAGGTCAGTGTTAAAGGCTAAGGGTAATTGCTAGTTGATATGTCTTTACAAATGATTTTTAACGAACCGACACCTATAATCATTCCTCCTTCTTTGATAGTAATGGCTCCGATCTAATTATGGCTGCGGTACAACCCTATTCAAGATTACCAGTGATATTGGCTATGCTTTCAATCAGTCATACTATTTTTTTCGGGTTTAATAGAAATGGCAGCAGAAGGGTGTTCCGCAGGGTTCTACCCTCGGACTGAAATCAAAATAGAAAATTTCCAATGGAGACCCCCTATAAAACCCTCATTTTTATTAAAAAAACAAAAAAATAAATTCCATTCATACAAACGTTCAATTTTAATAAAATTAGACCCCTTCAATGGACACATTTTTAATATGTAATTTTATACACCTTTTCATTGATGTGGCCTCCATCAAAAACTTGAAACATGTTTTTTTTCTTATTGAAATTGACTTAGAAAAAATGACATGAAATTTTTAAACCCTATTATTTTCAAAACTTTTGGAGCTATCGAAAAAAAAAAACATAATAAACTATAAAATAAGAAAATTTATAGGGTGTTTCATTGAAAATAAGGAAGTTGATGCCATTTTCGGTGAAAGCAGAAGTGCATTTCAATTGTTTTTTTATGTTAAAAAGGTAAAGATTTTTTAACAGAGTAACATTGTGTCCCAACAAATCTATTCCTGCTAGAGACACCTCTTTCAGGGGCGTACGTATCTATGAGTTCCGAGATACAATCCAGGCTTTACATTTGTTTGCTATAAATTTCTTCTATTTTGCCGGCAATTTCACCAAAAATAAAGTCATGAGACCTTATCTCCTATAATTGATATTATAATATTTTCCAACTGGGAAACAATATAATTTTCATAAAGTTATCACATTTGTTACTAGCGCTAGAGTTGGGTCTCCCAAAAACCAAGACCAGCCAGACCAAAAAAGTAATTTATAGGTCATGTTGACTTAACTGAGTATTGCATCTATCTGAAATATATTTGTTCCGCAAATAAATAAATACTTTTCAATTCCATAAAATCTATCTTCCCGCGAGTGTTCGCATGGAAATAAATATTAAAATAACCTCTTATATGCCTAAAGTATGCAATTGTTAATGTTAAGGAATAGTTTTTAAAATTAAGCAACTTTTCTTAACAACATTTCGCTCAATGGTTTGAAATAAGGCACTTTACCCTAGATTCTGCACGTTCGATTTGTTTTTAAATTTTAATACTGTTCCACCACAATCTGGTCGTCAGTAGCATTAGAACCAGTTTGGTGTAAAAAAAAATATTTATAATTGTTGTTAGATGTGAGTGAGGTCGATAGACAAGATAACGACATTTTCACTAACTTCTCTATGTGGGCGGTATCCTCTTTGACCAGGATAGCCATACCCGCTGATTGACTAGATTCCTCATGGCCTCCAATTATTTCCGTACCTGTTCCACCACAATCCGATCGTCAGCAGTGTCGTGTACAAAAAAATGATATTAATAATTATTTTTAGATTTGAATAAGGTCAATCTGTTGGTGTTTGACGAGTGCCATCGCGGCGTGAACGATCAACCGATGAGACAGCTGTGCAAGCTTTTCGAGCACCTGCACGACAAACCGAGAGTGCTGGGCATGACGGCGACCCTATTGAACGGCAATTGCAAACCGTCCAAGGTGATAGAGAACGTGAGGGCTTTGGAGGTCACCTATCACGGTCAGGTCGCGACCGTCGACGGTCTCGCCAAGGTGGTGGGGTAAGGAGGCGTGGTTGTCACCGCGATTTTGTTTCACCGGGCGTGTTTTGGGCGCAGCTACTCGACCAACCCCACCGAGAACATCCTCGAGGTGTCTCGTCACGTGCCGACCGCCGCCGAAATCAACGTCAAGCATCACTTGAGCTACGTCATCGACGTTATCAGGAGTTTCAAGGTGCCGGTGGCCGTGGTGGAGCCGCCGTCCACCGGATTGATGCCATTGAACAAGAACCGCGGGCTCAAGCAGTTGGAGAACCTGATCCAAGATATTATTCTGCAAATTGACTGGTTGGGGGCGTACGGGGGCTGCGAGGCGCTGCTGGCGCACGCGATACAAGTGGAGAGGATCAGCAAACACTGCGAAGAGATCGAGACCTGTCGGATGCTCAAGTACGTCCAGACGATGCTCAGCTACTGCAGGGAGATATTGCAGCGAGCGATGAGTGGCCACTCGGAGTACGAGAAGATCGTTTTGTTCTCGTCGGACAAGGTGAGGGGGAGGGGCGTTTTTTTTTTTTTTGAAAATTGGAAAAAAATTAATGGAAATTTTAAAATGTCTTACGTGCTTATTTTATTTGAAATAAGAAAAATATTGATGTAGAACAGAGAATATTTATCCAAAAAAAAAAAATAACGATTATTTTTTACAGCTGAAATGCAAAATTTTAAATGGGAATGTTGTATTTAAATTTCAAAATACTCGAAATTTCGATTTAAAACCAATATATTTCCAAGTCGCATTGACACCTATTTTATTTGACTCCACTTTTTTTCCATATCGTAATATATAAGTATACATGCTTTTATAGTTCAAAAACTTTTCAGAAATTATTACTTGTTTTTAGAAAGTCTGTTGTTTTAAAGACATTTTGAGTTTCTCAATCAGAAATTTGGCCTTTTGTAAGAAATTGTGACTTGTTTTTCGGAAAATTTGGCTGTTCCTTAGAAATGCTGACGTGCTTCTCAGAAATTCTGACTTGTTTTACAGACATTTTGATTTTCTCAAAAATTCTGACTTGTTTTACAGACATTCCGAATTTTTTCTTAGAAATTCTGACTTATGTAAAACATCGTGACTTGAAAAAGATTTTCTACGAAATATTGATATATCTTTACATTATATTCTTACTTGATTCATTTTGAAATAATTTAAAAGTTGAAAATTAACCAAAACTAACTTCCTTCTCAAAAATTCTGACTTATGTAATAAATTGCGACTTGTTTTCAAAATTTCTTACTTCTTTTTCAGAAATTCCTTTGATGACTTTTTCTTCTCAATATACTGGTTATGTTGTTTTTCCGAAATTTTAATTTGCTTCTTAGAAATTCCGATTTATGTCAGATATTCTGACTTATTTCTCAGAAATTCTTACATTTTCTTCGAAACTTTTTACATATTTTTCAGAAATGTTGAGTTATTTTTTAGAAATTGTGGCTTGTTACTTAGAAATCTCGACTTGCGTCTCAGAAATGTTGGCTTCTTTTGCAGACATCTTGATGCTCTCAAAAATTCTGACTTATGTAAGGTATTGTGACTTGTTTTCCAGAAATTCTAATTTACGTGGGAAATGTATTTCGTTGTTTGTCGCTCGTTTTAATTTAATGTTATCGAGGCGAACGTTTCTCGTAAAACGCAGATGAGAAAATTGATCGGCCTCTTCGAGCATTACCCGAAAACGTCGCAGGACCTGAGCGCGCTCATATTCACCAAACGTCGCTTCACGGCGAAGGTGATCTACTACGTTTTGAACAGCCTGAGCAAGGCTTCGCCCGACCTCGCCTACATCAAGGCGAATTTCCTCGTCGGGAACAACTCGAACCCTTATTCGAACACGAGGGAGGGGATGTACCTTTCGAAAAGGGGCCGCGAGATCCTGCAACAGTTCGACAACAATGACCTGAACGTGTTGGTCGCATCGAACGTACTGGAGGAGGGCGTGGACATCGGGACGTGCTCGTTGGTGGTCAAATTCGAAATGCCCGAGGAGTATCGCTCTTACATCCAGTCGAAAGGACGTGCCAGGAACAAATCCAGCAGGTACGTGATGCTGGTCGACGCGGACGCGATGGACAAGTTCATGGCACGGTACCGGGAGTACCAACAGATCGAGGGCATCCTCAACGACCTCCTTATCGGTGAGAACCTGAATCGCAGCGAGCCTTCGGACGCCGACCTCAGCGACCTCTACCAGGAGGACTGTCTGCGTCCGTACTTCGTCGACTCGAGTCCGAATTCCGCGCGGGTCACGTCTACCTCCGCCATATCGTTGCTGGCCACGTACTGTCAGAGTCTGCCGTCCGACAAGTACACCGACCACGCCCCCGAGCTGTTTTACCAAAAGAAACTGAACGGAGACGGCAGGCAGTTGTGCAGCGTCGTCATCCGGATGCCCATCATTTGCCCCATCGACGTGGTCACCGTGAGTATGGGGGGAGGGTGTTGGGCAGGTCGATAATCGTTTAGTTTTTCTCGGGAAAGGTCTTTTTCTTGTGGAGAAAGAAAGAAAATATATTTCTTTCGGTATATATGGAGAACTGGAAGCTTTGAAATCGAAAAAAAAAACTCTTTTTCGGCAAATTCTTGATCGATATCGACATTTACTATCTTAAATTAACACTAAGAGTCGAATATGAAGGACAACGACTTAGATGGTCATATAATTTTTTTGGCATATATATATATATATATATATATATATATATATATATATATATATATATATATATATATATATATATATATATATATATATATATATATATATATATATATATATATATATATATATATATATATATATATATATATATATATATATATATATATACATATATATATAGAAATTAAAAAAAAAACTCTTTTTCACTACATTCTTTGTCGATATCGACATTTACCATTGCGGCATTGTTTTGTTGGAATAAAAGTTACATTTAAGGAGTCGAGTATCAAGAAAATTACTTTGAAGGTTATGTAATATTTTTAATTTTCCGATGAATACAGAATACTGGCACCAAAATGCGAAACTCAAAAATTTTTGATTTTTTTTGAGAAATAAGTCAGAATTTCTGAGAAGTAAATAAGAACTTCTAAGGAAGTCAGAATATCTAATTCAATTCAGAATTTCTGATAAAAAAGGATTAAGAGCAATTAATCAATCAAGTCTTCTTCCGTAATTTTAAAAAAATCGGGCTTATTTTTTAGAAATTGTGACTAACTTAAGTTGGGTATTTTGACTGATATCTTCGAACTTCTTTTTCATAAATTCTTAGTCTTACTTATTTCTCAGAAATTGTGACTTATTTTTCAGGAATTATAACTTTTTTTCAGAAATTATCACTTGCGTCAAATATTCTTATTGCTCAGAAATTTTTACATTCTTTTTACAAATTGCGGCTTAGAAATTCTGACATATTCGTCAAAAATTTGGCTATACTTTATTTTTCTTGGTCTTTTAACTTTTTCTTGCCTTACTATAAAAAAAGAACAAAATACACATACCATAGTATAAAATAGCAATAAACAGCTATGTTAAATTAATAGATAGAAATTTTAATTATATTTCATGTTTCTTAAATACTTTTCCGAAATGTGAAGCATCCTGTCCTTTCCCCGTTCTTGCAAAAGTATTTTTCAAAATTGTTTTGTTTCTATCTGTGTTTTTGATATCAATCTAATTTTAATTTAAAATTGTATTTTATAACTTCTTAGAAACGGGCGTGTTTTGTGGATGGTTTTGCCATGGATCTGATGCGGTAACAAAATAATTGCTCTTTCTTGTTTATGAGAAAAGTAGTAGCACGGATGTGGTATAATAAGGCTGTCCAATAAAATTTGTGTCATTTTGAGGTTATGTCATTTTTTCAAGTTCTTTAAGAGAAATCGAAATCTTTGACTGGTCAAATCGAATATCATATTTTTTTTAATATAGTTACTAGAATAGAAAGAAAAAAATCAATTTTTAATTCGATAGGAATTTTAATCTTTGCTTCCTTAGTGTCTCTTCAATTCGGTCCACCTTTGAGTATAACCTCAAAACGCTTTATTTGACAGTCTAAACTCACCGCTCCCTCGACCTTGTCCGGATTCACTTTTTGGACAAAAAAACACCAAATTTCAACCCTTGAGTTCTAAAATTAATCGGTAAGATAACATTCAGGAAGGTTTTGGTGAATGTGCTGTGCGCAATAATAGTTCCTTTATGAAATTGTCTTAAAGTACTGGTGTCGTGCAGGGCCCCTTCATGCCCGGACTAAAGCTGGCGAAGCGCGCCGCCGCATTGAAGACGTGCGAGATGCTTCACAAGTGCGGCGAGTTGGACGATTCGCTGGCGCCGCGCAAGAGGCGCGTGCCCGAAGAGGACGTCGGGTTCCTTTTCGCGCATTATCCCGCCGTCAAAGAGCCCGACGCTGGCACCAACAAACGGAAACGCCTTCACAGGCACGTGGTGAGTATTAGACTGTTTAGGGATCGACCGTGAATTAACAATTAAGGACATTAACGATTCTAATTTAAACAAACATGGATTAGCGAATATGATAAATTCTCAATTAATAAATAACAACAAACACCAAGAAATTTCTCAAATGTCACTAGTAATATCTATCAAAAACAAAGCTTCTGGAAATAACATCATATGTGCACGTCATAGCTATCGATCTCCCAGAATATATTTCAAAAAGTAACAATTTTCTTAAACCCGTACTTTTCCAATGTATCAAACACTCAATAATTCAATCAATCAATTACTAACTCCACACTATTGAGTGACAAGTATTTATTAACAATTATGAATCCACAACCGCCGAAATTAAATTCTTTGGTTAAATTGCATAAACAAGATATGCCCATTAGACTAGTCGTGTCTTATGTAACGGCTCCAGCAGTTAAACTCTCAAAAAAATTAGTAAATATCTTTAAAGTTCCACACAGATTTGAAACCAAAATTTGTAATAACAAATTATTTTCAATTAATCAACAAAATTAAAGATATCAAACTTCCCTTCTAATGCAGCACTATTGTCTTTTGATGTACAAAACTTATTTCCGAGTATGAATGTGATAGATTTAGTAGATTTCACTATCACTATCGAGATTGAACAGGATAACTCTATTAATTTTTTAGACTTAACTATTACGAAAACGCAAAACAAATTAGATTTTTCTATTTACCATAAACCTTCACACAGGGATAGTCATACGTAACAGCTCAAATCACCCTTATACACGCAAAATGGCTGCCTTTCACATTTTATACACAGGCCTCTTAATACGCCACTCTCAACAGAAAATTACAACAAAGAACTTAATATCATTAAACTAATTGCACTGAACAACGGCTACAATCCGTCCATTATCGATAAAATTATAAATAAAAAATTAATCCAGACAACAGTAAACTCTATTTATCCGAAACCTGATACAGAACACGAACAGTTTAAAACAATTACATGAATAGGAGAACCCAGTGAAAAAGTTTCAAAACATTTGTCAAATTGTGGTTTAAAAATAGATTTCATAACTAAGAAAATTTTTAAAAAATAAAAAAATCTCAAAAATTAGGTGTCAACGGGTTGAAATGCGGATCATGTCCTAAAATTTATATTAGACAAAACACAGAAAAACACATTTTTGACGATAATTTTGATATTTTACCTACAGGCACAAAAAGTAGAAAATTAAATTTATTGGAAGCCACGGAGATTAACAAAATGAGACATTCAAATGTAATACTTAACGATCAGTTAGATTTAAATACCTCTCCAACATTAATTAAGGTTTTATTGGCATTTTTTGGTATATGTAGTAGCAGGTAGTTTGTAAATATTACATTTGACAAAGATACGGTGTTCTCGAAACATTTTTTGTTAAATGGATTTTCATCAAGTGAAAGCCGCCTCAGTTCGACTTTTCCTACCCTACAAATCTCGATATCGGTCGATACCGATCGATACGGCGTCGAAAAACGACGTATTTTAAATTTTCTCTGTTCCCCCGTGTATGTTCTCTGTTACGGAATCTTTTAAAGTTCTTGTGATACACAGTTGTTGCTTCGGATCTCTCTGATTCTCGCAAAAGTATTTTTTTCACATTTTTCTGATATTGACTGAGTACCGCTATAACTAACCGAAACACATTTTTTTACTTATTTTTAATAATGCCTCTATAGAATTGTCGTTTAAAGTAGTAAATCAGACCGGGCTTCGGTATCGGTCGACAGTACGCCGTCGACGTCGATACAGATCGATTCGGCGTCGAAAAACGACGTATTTTATTTTTTGTCTGTTCTCAGTTCCCCCGTTTCTGTTCTCTGTAACGGACATGTGGGAAGTTTTTGAGGGCAAATATAGGTCTTACGGAGCAAAAAACCATTAACATGACCAAACATACAGAAATACAGTTTTCCCATTTTAAACCTTCCACGCGATCTCAACTTGGGAAGAGAACAAAACAGCAACTTCTCTTCAAAATTATCTGCACCTTTGTAGCGAACATATACCATTAGCTGTGAATGTGAATGTTTAGCATGTTTTAATGCGAAAATAACCTGTTCCTTTACATTTTCTGCGAACAATGAAATTCGTTTTTCCTTTAACCAAATCTTCGCTGATCAAATTGCTATTCAATCTTTGTCTTTTAACAGATATTTCTAAATTTTTCAGATTGCTAAGAACGTTGATTATTTATCATTTTCTGTCTTTTCTGCAGTTGCTGAACTGGTTGCATCACTAACTTTAAACGTGTAGGTCTTGGTACCAGATAATGTTTGTAAACAAAAAAAAAATGTGTGGCAGTTTCGATGAAAACAACTTAATTTCCACCCCAAATTTCGGCAAAGTCCCCCACGTTTACAGATCCCCCCGTGCGTCACGGGGGCGTTGCCCCTCGCCGACCGGGTTTACCTCCACATCATCGAGCTGAGGCCGATGTTCGCGCGGAGCGAGAACGTTAATACGGCCGCCATATTCGACATGTACGACTCGGACCTCTGCTACGGCGTCATCACGCCGAAACCGGCGCCCACCGTATGCGATTTCCCAGTGTACGTGTCGCAAGGCACGTTGTCCGTCTCTTTGCGGGTCAACGCGTCATGTGTCCGTCTCGACGCCGGCGACATCGATGACGTCAAGGCGTTTAACGTCCTCGTCTACGCCGACATGCTGCGTTGCCTGAAAGAGTTCCTCGTGGTCGACAATTCCGACGGCGGAGAGTCCATGTGGATCGTGCCCGTCGACAGGAAGCGAGGCGCAGTCGACTTCGGCGTCCTCAAACGCTACAAGAAGATCGAAGAAGTCGCCGAGCCGAGCCACGAGGAAAAGTCGAACCTGGAGGTCGACCTCGACGGGTACCTGAGGAAGATCGTCGCACCTTGGTACAGAGACACCGGGGTACGTCGTTCAAATTTTTAACCAAAATCATAAAAACCATAATATGTATATAAGCAACCGACGCGTTAGAAAATTATTTTTTGTCCGTTCTCTGTTCTCCCGCTTCAGTTCTCCGTAACCAAGTTTTTCGAACGGCCGCAGCTACAGGCTTCAAATTTTCCTCGCTGCGCAACATATCGAGCCGTCGCCTCCCATTTTCTCCTTAATATTTTGCAAAATTTCTGGATTCCTCCTGTGTCGGTTTTTGTTGAGTCGAACTTGTTACTTCGTTTCATCGATTTTTCGAAAGTATACGCGCTTGGCAACGAAACCTATATCTTCTGCAACGGAGCGTCGTACAGCTTCGAAAAATAAACGTTTTAATTTTTTCTCTGTTCTCCGATCTCCGTTGTCTGTTCTCTGTAGAAGCTCCATAAAAACGCGAATAACTTCCGAACGGTTCGAGCGAGGGAGCTGAAATTTTGCTCTTTTTAAACTGACCACGAGACACATAAGTACATAGGAAATGGCCGCGATTGGAAATTGACATCTGCCTTTTTTTGCGATTTTTGTACATCGATATGAAACTCGACAAGTGAATTGGCACAAATATAGAGTTTAGTCTCCTAACGGAAACTATTGAAATTGGGAGTCCTGGGGGTTCGGAAAGTATTTTTAAATATTTAAAAAACGCGTTTGTAGGGTGTCGAGAAAAAAAACGGTATACTCGATCGAAAAAATTCTTGAACCAGAAGACGCGCGAGATCGTAGACAAAATCTTTTATTCTTGTTGATTTTTTAAAAATGTTCAGGGTGCGCCGGCAAATTTCAAAAAACTGAAAATTGGGTTCCCCTTATAAGGATAATTGACCATAACTAGAAGGCTGTGTTTTAGTTGGTTATTTTCTTTCACGCGACCATATAGTCCGTATGGACTGCTAAAACTTTTGTATTTTAGGTTTTCACATATTGTACAGGGTGTTCGGGATATTCTGTACCATATTCAAAAATGCAATATATGTCTCAAATTTGCAACTATCGACTTCAAATTTAGCAGAGAAGTGAAAGTCCACACCCACATTTAAACCGTAGAAAGCAATCAATACCTGCCAAGTAATTTTTTTTAGTTTTTGAGTTTTTTTTTTTTTTTTGAAAAAACTAAATTTCTGGAAAACTATTAACCTGATCAGCAAAATTATTTTACCAGGAGACGCGGAAGGTTCGGATACTATAACTTCTATTTCAAGCATTTTTTCGATTATGTACAGGGGTTTTCAATTATAGACAAAAATCTAAAAGACCCCGAAAATTGTTCCTTTCCAGAGTAAATTATTAGCCCGTAAACCAAAATTCGTAAAAAAATATTTTTAAACGGTATTGTACAATGCATCAAGAGCTACAATTTTTGTATCTACGGTTTGAAAATCACCGTTTCACGCCCTGACGCGATTACGTCATTTACTATTACGACGTACTGGATGGTTTCAGAAGACAAGTATTTTTTTCCTCTGTTTCGAACATTGTTTGGATTATATACAGGGCGAAAAATCTAGAGTATCCGTTAAACCGTTAAAAATGTAATAATTTTATTTGAACGGTGTCGTAAACCGTGTCGAGAGAGAATTTCAAGTTTCATGTATCATACAGATTTATATAGATTCTCGGATTTTTCGTTGGTAGAAGAATTGATTACGTGCAAGAATTTTAATTTTATCGAATAAAATTTTATGTCCGGTTTCGTGAATGTGTTGGGCATCTGCAGATAAGTTTATTTGTCTTAAGTCTGAAGGTTCTTTCATGTTTTTTGAGCTTAGTTGATATTTTTCGTTCGCTCTCTCTCTCTCTCTAATGTATTTTTTTGTCACATATGCATGGAGTGCATCTCAAATGAAATTTTGTCTTTGACGGATCGAAGATGTTGAGAGATTGTGATCAGTGATCTTTGGAAGTGACAAGTCCGGGCTCATTGCTATTGGAAGGTTGTGGTGAGGTGTATTTTGTAATGGAACGCTTAATGTCTCTAATGTGGAAATTATTAGAAAGAAGAGCGGCGGTAAGGTGTTTTATTTCTTTGTTCAGTGAGTCGGGTTGAGATTTTGCGGATCTGTGGTGATGATGGTGATGTGACAATGCATTAAGGTATCGGTCTGTGTGCGTAGGTTTTCTGTAAACAATGTTAGGTCTGATTTTTTATTGATAAGAATATCTTATCTAAAAATGGGAAGTTCTATCAGTTTGTAATTCAGTGATAAAACGAATGTCAGGGTCAGGGTGTAAGTCTTACTCTGCTAACCCTTCTTCAAATTTTACATTTGATAATAGCGACTGTGCGAGTGTCCTTGCTCTATCACTTAGAGTTCTATTGAATACGTGCCTTAAACCTTGCACTGTGTCTGATATCTGGAAGTTATGACAATTTATTGTCATAACTTCCATGATAGATAACTTTTATGATAGGGCGGTCTACCATTACTAATCTGGCAAATATCCCCCAAGTTATAGCTGAAAATCTAGACTTGCGATCTCAAACCGACGTTGTCTATACCGATTTTTCGAAGGCGTTTGACAGACTTGATCGTGGGATACTTATTTCTAAGTTTAATTGATTTGTTATATTTGATGGACTCAAGTCTGTAGGATATGTCGCAACATCCGGTGTTCCTCAAGGCAACAATTTAGGCCCCCTTCTATTTAATATTTTTATTAATGACATTGTCGAAAGTGTTGATGTTAAAGTTGTTCTGCAAAATTGATACCATTCAAGACTGCCTGAATTTAAAACGTATTGAAAACTGGTGTGACCATAATAACTTGTTAAATCCCTTCAAATGTAATGTCATGACGTATTCATTTAAAAGTAATATTATCAGATATGATTACCAAATGAATGACATCGTAGTTCAGCGTCCAGCCAATTTTGTTGATCTAAGTGTCATTTTTGACCCTAAACTTTCTTTCATTCCACATATGGACGCCGATGTGTCTGCCGCGAATAAAATGTACGGGTTTATAGCTCGGAACTCTCGAGACTTAACAGATTTAGAAACTTTATTAACTCTGTACTACGCATTTGTCAGATTTAAATTAGAATACGGCGATATTATATGCAAAAAACAATTCTTGAAACTCCGAATAAGTATCCACCAATTGATATAAGTAATACTTCGCTTCGTAATAGGCATAACGTTCTGGCCGCCATTGTCACTCGGCGGTATTCCTGCAGAAAATTATTCATAATCAGGTTGTCGATCCGGGTCTCTTATCAAAATTGAACTTTGGTGTTTGCCGGGTTACCTGCAGAGTAGATCAACCCTTTTACCTTTCTACGCCGCGTACGAATATTTTAAAATTTTCTCCTTTCCAAAGAATGTGCGACCTGTGCAACTCGGCAAGTTTCCAGCTTGATAAAACATGTTTTTTAAGGAATGGCATATAATTCTATTTTTGTTTTATTTTACTTTGTATTAGCATTTTAGTAGTTGCATAAAGGGGATTCAGGCGAACATAACCTGAAAACACAATCGCCCCCCGCGGGGGCCATGATCCTTCTAGGGGGTGCTCCGCCCCTGTGTTTTTGCAGTTTTTTTTAATTTGTTCTGTTCTGTAGTTGGGTTTACCCTGTTGATCGATGTATCTAAATAAATAAATAAATAATCGCGTCTCAACGAATGAAATAAATTGATCGGCAAATTCGGAAACGTGGATTTAAACGGGTCTTGATGTGCGATCTCTATCTCTCTCTCTCGTAACCGATGGAAGTCAAAAATCGCAATCGTAATTACTAACGTAACCACAAAGAACAGTACCGGCAAGATTAAGACGACACTCGTCCGCTGCTGCTCGTGACCGTTTTTCACGCCCTTTTGCCTTAGTTCTACCTCGTGACTGAGGTGACCTTCGGGAAAACAGCCTGGAGCGAGTTCCCGAACGAATCGTTCGCGACGTACGAGGACTACTTCAGGGAAAAGCACAACCTGCAGCTGGCCAAGCCCGAGCTGCCTCTCCTCTACGTCAAGGCGTTGTCGCAGCGTCGCAACTGTTACAAGCCACGCGGCGACTCGAAAAAGGGGCGGGACGACAAGTTCGACGAGCTCGAGATCCACCTGGTGCCCGAGCTCGTCGTCAGGCAGGACTTTCCGGCGCCGCTCTGGCTCCAGGCCGCGTTGCTGCCGACCGTCCTCTCGCGGTTGTCCTTCCTGTTCCGTCTGGAGCTATTGAGGTCGACGATCGCGAGGGAGGCGGGGCTCGGGCGGGACGTCGTCTTCGTCAAGACGCCGCTCGAACTCGACCGCCATCTGCTGAATTACGAGCCGCGCGTCGCAGGAACGAAGGAAACGACGGCGAGGGCGTCGTCCGTAAATGGGTTCGAGGTGACCCAATTGCCCGCCCTCAACGTTCACAAGGACTACGCGCACCGGGTGCTCGAACGCGACTACCCGTGGAAGGACATCGAGGAGCCGAAGGACGTGGAGCGCGACATCGACGATGTCACCGTCATGGACGTCGAGTACTACGAAAAGTTCATCGGGACGACGCTCCGCGAGGGCGACGTCCACTTGAAAAACGATAGGGCGGCGAAGGGCGGCAACCGTCTCGCCCTCACCTACCACAAGGACTACGCGTTCCGGCCGATCGGGCTGCTGGAACGCGAAGCCGTCGCCGAAGGGCCCGAGCTGGCCGTCATCTACAAGGCGGCCACGACCGCGAAAGCGAACGACGTCGTCAACATGGAGCGGCTCGAGACGCTCGGCGACTCGTTCCTGAAGATGTTCGCGACGGTGGGTGGGTGACGGCGCACCGGGACCTGGTGCCCCGAAGTTTTCTTTTGTTTTATTATTTTTTTTTTTTTGAAAATACTACCATCTCATGGATTCGTTAGATTGACGAAATTTCCGTATGCGATCAAAATAGTTACGACGACGATACACTTGGACCCGGTACTCTGACGTCAGAATAAGAAATTTGCGTAATATTGTTCGAATTCCAAGTTTTTCAGTTTTTTTTTTGTCGAAAATACTTCTTCCATCTTATGGATTTCTCTAGATTCTAGGAAAATGTGTGAAGAACTATTTTTGACGAAGTTTTTGTCTGTGATGTAAATAGTTATGACGAGGGTGCACTTGAAACTGGTGCTCGCATTCGATGAATAATTCAAGTTTTTCAGCCTGCGACGGCTAGATTCTAGGAAAAAGTGGACAAGCCTCTTTTTGACGAAATTTCTGTCTGTGATGAAAATAGTTTCGACGACGATGCACTTGGACCCGGTGCTCTGACGTCAAGTGATAAATTTGCGCACTGTTGGACGCAAAAAGATAAAAGTGGCAAAAAACATTTTTCACAAAATTTCTATTTGCATTCGATGAAAAATATAAAGTTTTCCGCGTTTTTCCCCCTGCTACAAACTACCGCACGCACCACTGTTTATAAATATTCCGGATTCCTCGAAATGATCGTATCGCTTACGCGTGATGGTGATATCGGGGCGGTTCCGTTTCGCAGATCTACATCTACCTGAGATTCTCGTCGTACAACGAGGGCCTGTCGACGACCCTAAAGGGTCGTCTGATCAGCAACAAGAACCTGTACTACTTGGGAAAGCTGAAACACATCGCCGCCACCTTGAAAAACGCCGATCTTCAGCTTTCGAATTGGCTGCCGCCCGGTTTCAAGATCCCCGAATTGGTGACGAGTCGGATTGGGAACGGGGAAGCGGCGCTCGCCTCCCTCTACCACGTCTGGATCCCCGTGGACGAGCAGACGTCGGGGACGCTCTCCGCCGAGACGGTCGCCGCCATCATCGAAGACCGCACCGAACCCGACCCCAGCGAGGACGGGCTTATCAACGAGATAGCGCCATTCTTCAGGTTGAACCACTTAAGTCAGAATTTTTGAGGAATAAATCAGAATTTTTAAAGAACAAGTCAGAATTTCAGAAAAACTAGTTGGAATTTCTTTCATAAGTCAGAATTTCTGAGAAACAAATCGGAATTTTTGATGAACAAGTCAGAATTTCATACAACTAGTTGGAATTTCGGTCATAAGTCAAAATTTCTAAGAAAGAAGTTAGCAGTTCTAAGAGTCAGAATTTTTGAGTAGAGTCAGAGTTTCGGAAAAACTAGTGGTGATAAGTCAGAATTTCTGAGAAACAAGTCGACATTTTTGAGTAACAAGTCAGAATTTTAGAAAAACGAGTTGGGATTTCCGTCAAACGTCAGAATTCCTGGGAAAGAATTGAGAATTTCTAAGAAACAAGTCGGAATTTTTAAGGAAAAAATTTTTGAGGAATTTCTATCGTTTTGCTTGAAAGTGCTGGACAATGATTCAAGAAATTGTCGAACTTGCATTTCTGAAAAAGAAATCAAAATTTTTCCAACTAACCATTTCTGAGAAACATATTCATAATATTTGATAAACAAAAAATAAGTCAGAATTTCTGAGAAATAAGTCAAAATTATTGATATAAATCAAAATTGCTGACATTAGCATGTCGTAAGGAACATTGCAAATCGAAACATCAGATATACACAGTTTTTATAAGATGATAATTAAAATTGTAAGTTTTTGTTTTATTTTTTTGACATGACAATTGCGAAATTTAGAAAAACAAGTCAAAATTTATGAAAAAAAAGGACAGATAAACAAGTAAGAGTTTCGGGAAAAAAAAGTAAAAGTTTCTGAGAAATAAGTCAAGTCAGAAGTTTCTGACATCAGAATTTTTAAGAAACAAACTCAGAATTTCCGAAAAATAAGTGAAATTTCCTAAGAGTAACCTTTTTTTAACAACAATTCGGAATTTCCGAGAAACAAGTAAAAAAAAAATAAAATGACGGAATTTTGTAATTTAGGTCAGACGTTCTCAGGAACAAAGTCAAAATTTCAGAAAATGTAAGAATTTCTGAGAAAAATCAGTAAAAATTTCTGAAGAATAAGTCAAAATTTGCTGTCTTAAGTCTTAATTTCTGGGAATCAAGTCAAAATTTCTAAGAAACAAGTCAGAATTTTATTTTAAGTCAAAATTTCCGAGAAATAAGTTATAATTTTGTCTTAAGTCTGAATTTCTGGAAATCAAGTTAAAATTTCTGAAAAATAAAATCAGAATTTCGGAGAAATATGTCAGATATTTATTTTAAGTCGAAATTTGTGAAAAATTAGCGAATATTTTTGAGATCGCGCCCTTCTCCAGGTCGAACCACGTCGGCGACAAGCAGGTGGCCGATTGCGTGGAGGCCCTCCTCGGCGCCTATTTCGAGTGTTGCGGCATCGCGGGGGGCCTCAAATTCCTCGAGTGGGTGGGCGTGGTGCCGCCGTCGGAACGTCTAGCCGACCTCCTCGACGCCGAGCCCGCAGACCCGATCTTAAGGCCGGAAAAGACGACGGTCGCGGAAGTGGTGCGTCACGTGCCGTTGTGCGCGGAAATCGAGGCGACGCTCGGGTACCGTTTCCGGAACCGCGGGTACCTGCTGCAAGCGCTGACGCACGCCTCGTATTCGACCAATCGGATCACGCAGTCGTACGAGAAGCTCGAGTTCGTCGGCGACGCGGTGCTCGACTTTTTGATCACGTGTCACATCTACGAATCGTGCGGAAACTTGTCGCCCGGGGAATTGACCGATTTGAGATCCGCCCTGGTCAACAACAACACGTTCGCCACCCTGACGGTCAAGTATAACCTGCACAAGCATCTGCTGCTGACCAGCAGCAAGCTGCAGGGGTTGGTGGACACGTTCGCCGGCTACGTGGAGGCGAAGGGCTTCGAGGTCGACGACGAGGTGCTCTCGTGGCTGACGGAGGGCGTCGACGACGACGACCGCCTCAACATCGCCGAGTACATCGACGTGCCCAAAGTACGAACCGGTTGGAAAGTATTCACCGAGATTACCAGTTACCGATATGTTATTTATCTAATTTTGATTATCAAGAGAAACATTAAAAAAAAAAAAAGAAAAAGCCGGAAAGACAGCAAAAATAAAATGTAGGTTTTAATAGGCTGAGAAACGAGTCGGATTTCTGAAAAGTAAGTCAGAATTTCGGAAAAACAAGTCGTAATTTCTGAGAAATGAGTTAATTTAAAAAAAAAATCAGAATGAGAAACAAGTCAAATTGTCTGAAAAACTGAGTCAAAATTTTAGAAAGATAAGTCAACATTTCTCAAAAACAAGTCGAAATTTCCGACAACCGAGTCAGAATTTCTTAAAATTAATTTGAATAAAAAAAACAAATGAAAATTTCTGAAAAAAAATCAAATTGTCTGAGTCAAAATAGGACAAATTTTCTGCAAAACAAGTCGAAATTTCCGAGAACCAAATCAGAATTTCTTTCAAACAAGTAGTAAATTCTGAGAAATAAGTTGGTTAAAAAAAAAGAACCAGAATTTCTGAGAAACAAGTCAAATTGCCCGAAACACTGAGTCAAAATTTTGGAAAAATAAGTACAAATTTTTGAAAAATAAGTCGAAATGTCCGAGGAACGAGTCGGAATTTTTTGAAACAATCGAAATTTCTGAGAAACAAGTCAGAATTTCTGAAAAATAAGTCGAAATTTCTGAGAAATAAATTAAATAAAAACAAGTCAAGAAATAAAAATTTAAAATTTAAAGTTCTAGTAATTTTCTTCTGTAGGTCATTATTTTTTTTTTATATTGTGTAATTTGTAGACTCTGAGCGGTATGTATTTATTCATTTATTTTATTATTTTCTATATTTATTTATCCACTTATTCTCTCTGGCTACCTGGTTCATCACGAGCTACTATTTTATCTTAAAAAAGCTATCTACAGTTCGTTATACACAATTTTAAAAAGTTTTTTTTTTTAATTTAAATATTTAATACCCAGGGACCTAAGTTTATGTATTTTTTTTTCCATATATATATATATATATATATATATATATATATATATATATATATATATATATATATATATATATATATATATATATATATATATATATATATATATATATATATATATATCAATTTTAATGGTAACTATCAAAAAATCTTTGAAAAGTCGCCGGCAGAAGCATTAAAGTTCTAATCATTTCCTTGTACAGGTCATCAATTTTTGTTTTATTTTATTTATTATTATTATAATTTATAGGTACTGGGCGATTTATTTGAATCGGTGGCGGGAGCGATATATCTGGACAGCGGAAAGGACCTGAGGCAGGTGTGGTCCGTGTTCCATCGACTGATGTGGAAAGAACTTGAAGCGTTTAGCGCGAACGTCCCGAAAAATCTGGTCCGCCGTCTGTACGAGTGGGCCCCGAATCCGCACCCCATTTTCGGGTATTTGTCTGGGCACACCACCGGGGGCGACGAGAACGTCTTTCTTTTTTTCTTTCAGCAAGCCCGTGGACGTGCAGAAAGGCAAGGTGATGGTGCCACTAGAGTTTATGACGAACGGGCACATGCAAAGGGTCCATGGGTTCGGATCAAACAAGGCCCTCGCGAAGAAGGCGGCCGCCAAGCTAGCCCTGCGTTTCCTCAGCTGAACGACGCCAGTTTTACATTACAAATGTTTGTTAAGTTTTTTTATATATTTGATATAATAAAGTTTCAACTATTGTTTTTTTTTTTTTTTGATGAAGAACTCTTTATAAACGCTAAACTTTTATTTACACCTAAAAAAGAGCTTGGAATTCCACCGAACTATGAGCCCTTTCGACCTCTGAACCGCGTTCTAGCATCAAGCTACGAGTAAGGTAACTTAGTGACATTTCCGTTACTGTACAATCGACAACTTACTATGGATCGTTTGCACTCGAAGAAGGAAAAACGCAGTTGTTTGCATTGGTCGGGTATCGAGTCGTCCTTCAGACAGTCCCTCGGGGTCTTCCTATGCTGGAATTTGAGTATTACACGACGATGCGCTCGAATCCACCCGACTCACTTTTTTGCAGCAGTCGCTTTCAATCAGGCACATCTTGAGGTCGGCTCGGAGCACAGCGCATGGCCTCTTGTCCGCCAATTTCTCGCCTTCTTCCAAATATTGCATGTCTTCAAATCCAAACGTAAACACTTTCGAGAAACGTTCCTAAAAGGGCACTACGTCAAGTCTTGGATACTTAACGCAGCGTCGGATATTATTTCCTTAGACCCTAAACAACTTAATGGAAGTAATATTATCTAATGTTACAGCGAAATAAATTTCCTAACTAAAGCGATTCTTCTTATTTTCAAAGCAATTCGCAAGGATCATTAGCCCGTCTCGAACGCACGTCGACCAGCTTTGAATTGACAGATGGTCCAATGTTCCATAACGCCCGAGGCAGACACGATGCAATTGGTACATGATTTTTTGCACGCAATTTTAATACAATAAACGATAATAAAGATTTCTAAGCAGCATTGCTAATAAGAACTTGCATTGCTATGGCTAAAATGAAAAACGCTCGAATTAGGATACTGTCGTGAGCATTGCACATGGCGGTTTAACCTCCGTGCGCTCCCGACAGAATCCCTTGTAATCGTCCCCCAAAACCTTGCAATCCGCTTCTACAGTATAGATTTAATATTCTTAGTGTTTACTGTATGTTTTAAAGTGTCTAATCGTTGTCGGCCCCGCTGTTGTTGGCAGTTCACGTATTTTGATGGTTAATCCGCGGGTAAGCGGGGGATGCCGTTATTTGTTATCGATCAAAGTTTTTTGAATAACGTTTATAATTGTTGTTTTCGTTCCTCTCGAATGGCGATGGATCCGTCCAGTCCCTTTTAATTTAGTCTCCGTCCAGAGTTATAAAGAAAGTGTGGAACTATTATTGTAAGTCGCCGAGTGATCCCAGTAATCTAAGGCAATAGAAGTAAGAGAGGGAGACGCTCGAATTTGACAGTTTATCTGTGCTTGTGTGTTGTTTGTTTGTTGAATATTTTACAAAATTTTACAAGATGACCGCGACGGATGAAAGGGCGGTTTTCGCGAAACTCGAGGCGGTTAAAGAAATCAGGTAATTTTCCTTTCATTGAAAAATAACCGATTTTTTTACGCGACGTTTCAGGGCGAAAACGATACAGTTGGAGAAACTGAAAGCGCGGCTGATCTGCGAGGTGGAGTCTCAGGATCAGGAGGAAAAATCGCTGTCTGAGTACAAGCAGGAGATGGACTTGCTCTTGCAGGAGAAGATGTCGCACGTCGAGGAGCTCAGGCAGATTCACGCCGACATCAATTCAGTATAATCATTGTCCCAATGTAAGTTCCATTGTTATGGATGATGTTTTAGATGGAAACCGTCATAAAACAAGCGGAGGAGAGCAGGTCGAGGTCGATGAACGCAGCGCTGAGACTGCACGAAGAGTACTTACCGTTAAAGAGCGAGATAGACCGCCTGCGGCGTGAGTGTCTGGGTCTGGAACGTCTGCCCGATCTCCACGAGGAAGAGGGCACCGTGATAACTCCAGAGTAACCCCGCAATGCATTTTTATCGGCCCGTCTCGCTTACCACACCAAGTATTTTAGGAAATTTTCTCAGCTGTACAACTCGACCAAGAACCAATCGACAGGTTTCTCCAAGACTGCAGACTGGACGAGGCCGTTGACTTCCTCGGACGGTTCCCTGGGCTCGTTGGCGCCGCCGTTGCCGCCCACGTTCCTGCCGCCCCCCAATCCGCTCCGACTCGTCGCCAACAAACCAGAATCGGGGAGGTCGGGAGGGATGACGCCCTCGCATCCGGGGCCACCGGCGCCCACTTTCAGGTCCGATCTCGGTTTGAGGTGCCGGATTTTTTTGGGGCCCGGACCGGTTTTCTGTAATTCGACGACGTTTTCAGGCAGCAACCGCCCCCCATGAAGTCGTGTCTCAGTTGCCACCAGCAAATCCATCGCAACGCACCGATATGCCCGCTATGCAAGGCCAAGTCGAGGTCCCGAAACCCGAAGAAGCCGAAGAAGAAGGACCATTGATGTCCGGCCTCGAAGGGATAAAAAAAACTACCAGGGTTCACTTTTTGACAGCCAACGCCTGTCGGGACGCGGACCAATGAATCCTTCCAAGTTCGAAAGTCAACATGGCCGCTAGCAGTTCTTCAAAGTTTAATTTTCGGGAAAAAAAAATGAAACCCTTTTTTTTATGTGGTACATGTGTGTGGTCCTTTTTTTGGATTTTTAAAATGTCCTGGCCAATATGGCAGGCGCTTTTTTCGTATTTTAACCATATTTATATATAACCCTATACCGAGTGTTCGTGTTTTATGTGTAGGTTAAGCGACGAATATATGTTTAAACCAATAATAAGAGGTTTCTTATTTTTATATTTTGTTATTATAATTACAATGCGCTATTTACATAATTTTTGGATTTTCAAAACCTGTTCGTCCTAGTCTTTTTATGTGCATAAAACCATCTAGATTTGTTTCTTCTATTTTCTTCGTTTGCTCATAACTGCGTCTATCTTTATTTGAAAATTTCTTTTATCGTGTCGAAATCAAGCATTACAATATACACAATATATTTTAATCGATCGTCTTTCTCCACGTTTAAGGGATTATTTGTTGTGAGCCAGTCGCGTAACACGCACTTTTAGCAAAACTGCAAATAAAACAGTCAACATGGCCACCGACAAAAAATTTAAACGTTATAGCTGCTGAGCCATTCTGTAAAAAAAAAATCGGTTTTGATTGGTTAACACTACCGCATCTCGTTGAATTTTCAGGTTGATTTAAAATCTCGTTTTTAACCAATGACGTCTCCGCGTTCGGCAACCAGCATGCCCTCTGACAGGTCATGAGGTTTAGAATGAAATAGATGCAAAGTGCGGGTTATAATAAAAGCAATGACCGATTTTTATATAGGCGCTCATGAGTACGGGTTGCCATGGCGATCCATGGAAAGTCAATTTTGATTGGTCGAAAGCTCGGGACGTGACATGTTTTTTTCGATATGGCCGTAGCGAGTGTTTGTGTATTACGCGTAGGTTAGGTGGTACAAGTAAAAGCGGGTTCTTTCAAGACGAGAGTTTATTACCAAAGCGAGGATAAAGAAAATAAATACAAATCAACGAATTTTACACTCGGCCGACCGGCAAAGCCGCTATAGGTCCGCGAAAAAGGCCCCGAACCCGAAAGCCTGCTTCATGGCGTCCCAGTAGTACCGGTCCCAGTTGGACCTGGTGACGTCCGCCTCTCCCACCGGTACTCCCTTTTGTTCTAGCGTTACCTCCGTGTGGTCCGCCTGAAACCCCCATTTTTACTCAAATCCCCGACGCTCCCCAATCCCTCGCTCACCTTTTGTTCGATTTTCAACACCACAGTGGAGTAGTGCCCTTCGGGCCACTGTTTGTACCGCCAACGTTGCACGATTTTCTCATTGGCCACGAGCTCCTCGAACCACCCTACAATGTTACCGCCGAACAGTTCGAATCGTCCCCCTCGGCACGGCTCGAGCCTCACAGCTCCCCTAGTGAAGGCGGTCACCATTTCGACCTTCGTCAGGGCGTTGTAGAAGTCCTCGGCGGTGCATTGGAACCGGTGCGTCTGGGTTAGGCTCGTCGTTTCGATTTTTGAGTTCGCGTTTTTGATTTCCGGCGCCGCGACGGGCGCCACGTTCACTTTCTTGTTGAAGCCGCTCGCCAAATTCCTCACACTGTCCGGCTTCACTTGGTCTTTCATGGGCAGGATCATGCCCTTCGAGAACTCGTTTTTCAAATTCTTCACGTACTCGCCGAGCCGTTCCCTCACCGCGACTTTGCCCTCTTTCAGCATGACCTGCCTGAGTTTGTCGCCCTCGTCGTCGCTATCCAGTACCGATATTTGAATCTGCAACGCCGACCGCCGTCGGACACATCGTCGAAAGCTAAAAAAAATTACTCACGTCCAAATCCGACATGTCGTTTTCCTCGGACAGGTTTGGGATTTTGATTTTCCCCTTGAACTCGCGACCGCTGCCCCCCTTCAGTTTTCCGTGCCAGTTTAAGACAATGTCCCACTCATAGAAGAAGATGAGCTTGCCTTTGCGGTTGTTCGCGGAGGCCTCGCCCTCGCACTGCTCGACCCCCGCGATCGCGACGTCCGCGAAGTCCGATTTTAAGGGCACGTCGTGGAACAGGAGCGCGATCTGATCGCGAGACCAGGGCCCCGCGTTTTTCTCCGTCCAGTGCCAGTTGTTGACGTTGGTCGCGTCCGGCCTTTCCTCGACGATCCAGCGCGGATCGCCCTCGCCCCACTTGGCCATTTTCTCCCGAAAACCGTGTCGAAGTAAACCACGAAAAGTAGTCGCCAGATTTCAACCCGCGAGGTTAGTATTCGCTCCGCTGTTCGAGAAACGTTCTAGAAATTGTTTGCGCCCGCCGTGACCCCGTCGATGACGGCGCCACGGCCGACAGATGACGCGGCGTCGCACGAGCGACGTCATTGGATGCTCGACGGATAGACGGCGCCACCAGCAAGCTCCTAAAAACCGAATATTTCGCTACAAAAAGCAATTTTGTCCGATATTTGGGCGTGGTTTAGATCAGATTTTGTTTTTGAGATATTGAAAGTTTTCGCGAGTGTGCGGAGCGTCTAGATCTAGTGTAGAATGTATCAAGGAAAGAAAAAGTTTAAATTGTTCGATAATTAATTTATTTTCTACTAAAATTATGACGTGTTGTGCTTCCCTTACACGGTAAACGTGAAGCTTTCTGACGGTGCGATACGTGAATAGAAAAATCCGCGTCAATGACGGTTACGAAAGGGCTAAACGTCCCTGGTAAAGTTCGAAAGCTGAAATTCCAAACTGAACGTAATTAAATTGCAAAAAAAAATACGTTTTCGAATAAAGTTCTTGACATCGCGTTTTCGCATCATACATATTTTTATCGCACGGCGAGCCAGCGGTCCATCACCGGATTGGGAGTGTTAAAAAAATCCTGTAATATTGCTTAAACGCACACATAAATTTACAAACGTTTTTAAACCATTTTATTATCAGGTAACGCGAAATGAACCATGCACATCGAATAAAAATCCATTGCAAGGAAAAAAAATGGCAAAATCTTGAAACACAAATAAAGATTGCAATGTATTTACAATACAAAAGTAACCATCGGAAAAATACGTTAGAACGTCATATATTCAACATATTCCAATGCGTCAAAAAAATAAATCTGAGCGCAGTACCATAGCGCACACTAATTAAGAACTTTCATTAAATGATTTTGAGGTGGGTACGGCCTAGCTTCATAGTCTATGCAATCCCGATCTACATGTTCTTCAATAAACCAGTCTTTATCGATGGTTGGAGCACAGTTTGTTAGTTAAACGGCAAACACGTTCCTGAAAGCCATCAAATTGAAAAACCAGCTCTTATACCCTTAATATCACCTTTTTTCCATTATGCGTCACATTGAGTTTAGAGGTTTAGAAATTCGCAAGAAGATTAATATTCAAGTTAGCTCTAAAATGTTCAAGCGAAACGAAAAAAAAAACGTTAATACTCACAGTCGAGAGAACAAAATCGGACGGTACATTCAAATGTCATTTTAAACGTTACCGGGGCCAAATACGAATCGGCCGGACGGGCATGGGCGAACCTGGGGCATAAACATTAGGGTTGAAAAGCGGACTTCCCTTTTTGCGTTTCCCCCGCGTAGAAACGAAATCTGGCATTGATCACGTGCATTAAACGATCCCATTGAAATAATAATAAGACGAGTAAGCCATTATTCAAGATAAAGAAATAAATCATAGATCCACAAGGTGATTTTTATTAGCGCCACCGCAAAGCCATTTCGAGCGGAGCGCTTGACCGAGTACCGGATAGATGGCGCCACGTGCGCCGAAAACGACAAAGGGAATTGTTCCGTAAAAAGTGGGTAATAAAACGCGACGGCGTTTCGATTTACGTACGCGTCGCTTGAAACGGCTGAATAGGAGACGCCGGGAAGCGGGACGCTCACGATATGATACACGT